CTTATACGGCGAGTATATAACAAACTCTGTATTTTGAGTGGAAATGTTAGGGGGTCGTCTTATACGCCCAGTCGTCTTATACGCCGGCAAATACGGTATGTATATTTCAACACAATTAAAACAAAGAAAACTATTTCCCTACTCCAGGGTCCCACGTTGGTCTGAGGCCATTAGAACCTCTAGGAAGGGTTCTCAGCTTCACTACTGCATCAGGGGGCACTTAGCATCCCTGGCCAATAGCATCTAGAGGCCACCAGGGGCCAATAGTATCCCCACCCCCAGTTGTGACAAATATGTCTCCTGACATTGCCACACATCTCCTGGGGGCAGAACTGGCCGGGTGAGAATCACTGCTCTAGAATTGTTGGAATTTCCTGGGCATCAGGGTTATATAAAAGGTCCCCTGGGGGGTTTTCCTGGGCTGCCAGAGTGGAGAACCACCAAGGGACAGGGAGGAGGCGGGACCAGGAGAGAATTTTCAGGGCAACACTATAGAACAAATATCACTATCCCATCTTACGAACGAGGAAACAGAGGCTCCAAGAAGGTAAGGAGCTTGCCCAGACTCACACCAACCAGGTCCCCCAATCCCCAAATCCAAGCTCATGCAATCAGGCTGCTGAACAGAGCCGAGCAGGCCAGGCCCTGATTCTGGTTCTGCCACTAAGACCTCAGCCACAAGCATTAGGCCAGGCCTGCCACCTCTCTAGGCAAGAGTGAGGACAAAAGCTCAGACACCTGTCCCTCCACCTGGGCCCCGGGGTGCTGGACACCTGTCCCTCTGCCTGGCCTCCGGGGGTGCAGGGCATCTGTCCCTCTGCCTGGCCTCCGGGGGTGCAGGACACACCCAGGCATCGCTCAGCTGGCAATGTGGCACCACCAGGGGGAGCTCTAAGCCCCACCAGCAGGACGCCAGCAGGGGCTTGAATTTCATTCCCAGCCTGGTTCCCTGGTTGGAAACGCCACACAGCTCAGTGAACCTCACCTGGCACCTGGAGTCCTGGGTCACAGCTGACTGCTCCCTTTATATGTGCTCTCTAGTACTCGAAACAAATGTTATCAGTTCACCCTTGGGATTTAATGGACCACGTCTTATTGAGGGGACATAGAAAGAATCCATCTCAAATTCCTTCTCGCTGAGGCCAGCAAAGCGTCCCTCGACCCTATGCCCTGTTCCTTTGCTCCTAGGCTTACATGGGTCCCAAGTGACCTTATGTGCGCCAAGTCTGGTGTAGACCCAGCTGGGCTCAAATCCGGTTCAGCTAGTGTACTGGCTGGGTGACCTCTGGCAAGTTCCTTAACCTCTCTGAGCCTTAATCTCCCCTTCTATACACAGGGGGTGATATTAGGACCTCCCTCACACAGTGGTTGTGAGCATAAAAATAAGTAACCCATGGCTCACACTTGATGCCCATGCAATGCTCGAACCATCCATGCCTAGCACGTGCCAGGCTCACTAACGTCAGTGCTCGTTATTGTCACCATTGTTTGCCTATAAATCTAATGAGAACAAGGACCACAGCCAGGGGAGACCAGAGGTGGCCCGTCCTGTGCTGGCCCTGGCTGCTCTGTCCACAAGTCTGTGCTCGACCACCTCTGTGAGGCCCTGAGGGCCCCTAAAGATGCTGCGTGGTGGCCGTGACAACCATCCCCCATCAGGCCCACTGCAGGCACAATCCTCTCAGGCTGTCCTCAGCGCTCAGCGAGCAGAGCTGGTGACACACATGACGGCTCCCCAATGTGCCCAGGATCTGGATTGGGGACTCACCCACTGTCACTCTCCAGGAACACGGAGCTGCTCTCCACCAGGGCGGCGCTGACAGGCGACAGGCAGAAGGGTGAGGAGAAGGCATCCGAGTCCGAGTCGAAGGAGCTGTCTCTGCTCACGCCGCCAGCCGACAGCTCCAAGGAGCCCTCCTCCTCGCCGGCCTCAGGCCGCAGCTCCCGCCCCTCCTCCGTCCCATCCTGCGAACTGACCGTGGACAAGATCCCAGAGTCGCTGTGGGCCGGCTGCGAGGTGGGGAGGGGGCCGTCCATCCCCAGGCCCTGGGCTAGCTTCTCCCTGTCCTCGGGCGAGGGGCTGACGTGCACGGCGTCCTGGAGGCTCTGGGCCACCACCAGGATGTCCTCATCTCTGGGGACCAGGGTGGGCCTTGGCTCTGTGGGGGAGGGCTGGAGGAGGCCCCCGGAGCTCTGGGCTCGCCGGCCCCGCGGGCGGGGTGCCTTGCGCACGGGGGAGCTCTCGGGGGTGATGTAACGCAGTGCCTCCTCGTCCTGCCTCTGGATCCGAGAGTTGGGGACCCACGCGAGGATGAGGGTAGCCCCCAGCAGTTCATCCTTCTCCATGTACAAGCACAGGTACCCTGTGAGGGGCAGAGGATGATGGTTGGGGGGGGGCTTGCATGCATAGCCGTTGGCCGGCTCCTCGTAGAGACCACACCCCGGTGAGTAAAATCGTGGGGCTGTGCAGAGTACTGGGGCTTCAGACACAGCCTGGCCCCGAGGAAAACACACCCAAGGACACAGTCAAGCTTGCGATGAATGACAGCTGTGGGCATTCGCTAAGAACACGCACTTAGCAGATTCAGGGGGCACCGAGCCCCCCAGCAGTGCACTGCCGTGGCCTTTTCTAAGCGCGGGGAGCCCTCCTCTTTCACAGCCCCACTCCATCTGTCCGCTGTCTGGTGGCCCCAGAGCTTTCCTGCCTCTCCGTCTGGGCTGCCCAGGAGCCCGGCTCACAGCACTGCTAGAAGGGGTGCAGGCTGCAGACCTTATTTCATAAGAACAGACCCCAGACGAGTGGCTGGTGTTGGGCCTCTTCCAGTTGGCCTCAGCCCTCTTAGCATTTCTTCTATAATGCAGCTTTTTAGAAGAAGGGTCACCTTTCAATGTCACCCACTGGATTGCTGACAAGGACAAAGGACGGTTTTTCCAAGGCGGGGGAGTGGGTGGGCGCTCTGGGCTCCTGAATGCTCTGTTTGGGGGATGCTGGCATTTCCTACTAAAGCGCCTGCCATTCCGGATGTCCTGATTCCTGGGCCTATCGCGCCAGGTCCCCAGGCCTCCTGGTCTCTGTCCTGAAAAGCCCCCTTGGGCAGCAGCTGGGCTTCTCACATCCCTCAGGGCTCTGGTCCCACCCCAAATCTCTTAGCACAGCTCCTGTTTCCAAAACAGGGAGACTCACTCAGGGCTATCAGCCAGTTGTGCCTAAGGGTGACGGGTAACGGCTGGTAAAGCCAAGTACTCCCACGGTTAGGTCACACGGCTTTGGGACCAGGGAGATAGAGAGACCTCTGGCCCCTCCCCCCCCTCGCTTTCCATCACAACAGAGCTGCACCAGGAAGCTCTCCACAGGCTACAGCTGTTTCTTTTGTTTTATACCCAGAACACGGTACACACTTAGACCCTGGCCTAGAACCCCCTCTCCCCGGGTACATGGAGTTGGCTGCTCGGTCAGGCGTCCACTGGGTCAAGGAGAGGGCAGGTGGGGAAGTGAAGCAGCAGCCTTCTGAAGCTGGGGCTCTGTAACTGGGGAGACCAGTGAGTTCACCACGGACCTAAAACCCCAGTCCCCCCCTCCCGACCTGGGACCCCAGTCACCCCCTCCCCAGGCTCACCTGGGTGGTGCTCTCCCAGCCCCTGCAGCCCCTCTGGTGGGTGCACACAGACATTGTTCTTGGAGTAGATGATCTCTCCATCCAGGACAGAGGGGGGCCCACTGCCACCACCTGGGTTGAGGGTCAGGAGGTCTGAGGCTTTGGAGGAGGCCCGGCGAAGAAGGCGGCCCAGAGACATTGCTGGGGGAGTGTTCCCATCCTCTGCACACTTTGGCCCAGGCGGGGCTCGTCCACACCTGGCTGGGGGAGGAGAGAAGACATGCATTGGGGCCCGAGGCCATGGACTTGGCTGGGCGTCTTGGGGGCTGTGTCTTGCCTTCCACCCACATGCTTGAAACGGGTGCTGGTTAATTACGGAACAGGTCCTGGAGCACAAGGCCACAGGTCGGGCAAGCTGGGTTCTCAGCTGGGGCGCTATCGACATTTGGGACCTGGCCATTCTTACTGGTAGGGGACTGTCCTGTGCACTGTCCAGGTCTCCACACACTAGATGCCACCAGTGTCACCCCCCGCCCCCGCCCCAGGATTCATATGAAGACCAAGTTATAAAACTTAAAAAAAACAAAAAATATCACACACATCAAAAATATATGTTGTTTCCGGGCCGGCCGAGTGGCACGTTGGTTAAGAGCTGGCTTGGGACGCCAGAGGGCCCCGGTTCGGATCCCACATATGAGGGCCAGTGACACTGCNGGGGGGGCTCTCAGATGGGGGGCTGCTGGCTCATCCCCAGCCACACACTCAGCCTCCATGTGTAGTTCTTAGGTTCTGCCACTAGAGGGATCCCGTGAGCCAGCCTGTTTTCTCCCCTCCTGGGGACCCAATTCCCAGTTAAATTAGGAGCCTTTGCTTGAAGAGTACTAAGGACGCATGCACTTCCTCAAAGCCAAGCCCCCCCCCCCCCCCCGGGGTGTCTAGTCCAGCCGGATGCCTGGGCTCCAGGAGTTGGGCCCAGATGCTCTCTCTGCCTGAGGATCAAGGACAAGGCTCCTCTACCTCTGGCCCCCTCACAGCAGAGGTTCTCCACCCCATCTGCACACTAGAAGCCTCTGGGAGCTCAAACACGGTTTCCATTGGCCTGAGTGTGGCCCGGACATCGTGTTTTCAAAGCTGCCCAGGGCATTCCCATGAGCGGCGGGGTTGGGAGTGCCTGTTCTATGGTGCCCAGGATAAATGGCCTTTTAGTCGGGGACTTCCAGTCCCATCACCGTGCAGGCGCCACGGGTGGGGTGGGGTGGGGGGGTGGGGGGAGGCAGCAGAGGCGCTCCATCATGGCTTCCAGCATCACCAATGTGGTGGGGGACACAAGAACCCCACAGTCGGCAAGAAGAAGCAAGTAAACGTGGGCTGCAGCGACTACCCAGTGCCCAAACCTGGTTAACAGCAAAATCACCTGTGGAAAAAACACACATTCGAGGCCCTGCCCCAGCCCCTTTCTGAATCCATACCTGCATTTTCTTTAAGCTCCCAGCAATCTGCCATGCACGGCTGGGCCGGGATCTGGCGTGCCAAGATCCAGTGTGCCGAACTGGCCAAGGGAGCAGCCACACGGAGTGGCTGGGGCCCCACGGCGAGGGAGGGGTCACCCAGGAATCAGAGCACCCAGGCCTGTTAAGCAGCTCTGAGTAGACAGATGACCCCTAAACTAAACTGGGTGGGGCAGGGCCCTGGAAGGCTAAGATATGCTCCCCAAAGCTTTACCACAGGAAGCCGGATAACAGGGTGCCAACCCCCACCCCCCATCTGAGAGACGCCACCCAGCGTTAGCTCAGGAGTCTGCATGTGGTGTACAGTGGGGGTCTCAAGTTCAACTGATGGTAGATTCACCTGGAATACGAGTTAGCCATGAAAAGCAAGTCCTACACGCACTACGACATGGATACACCCTGAGGACAATATGCTGAGTGAAAGAAACCAGGCGCAAAGGCCACATACGTGTGACCCCATTTAGAACGATATGTCCAGAACAGGCAAGTCCATAGAGACAGAAAGCAGATTGGTGGCTGTCAGGGGCTGGGGGAGGGGGAGTGGGGAGTGACTGCAAATGAGTATGGGTTTCCCTTTGGGGTGATGAAAACGTTTTGGATCTAGATAGAATGTTGGCGGTTGCACAACATTGTGAATGCACCAAATTCCACTGAATTAGACAATTTAAAATAGTTACTATGTTAGCAAATTTTTGTTACCGTATTTGCCGGCGTATAAGACGATTTTTTGGCCCTGAAAAATATGCCTCCAAGTGGGGGGTTGTCTTATACGCCAGGTACACTTCAGATA